AATGTTGTTATATTAATTCTTTGATATTGTGGAAAAATGCAATATTCTTGTTGTGGTGAGCTTGCAAATGTAGGCATGTTATCTGATATCTGCCTGCAACTAACATTATATAAGTATTTGAACGTAAGTGGAGACAACAGGGTTTGGGGGGGATAGGTCAGGGAGGGCTAGAGATGAGGGTGTCATTTGGAAATGATAAGAAAAAATAATACAACTTTGGTTGTGGTCTCATATAATGCAATGGGGGGGGGATATTAAAGGAATTACTTTTTCCTATCTCTAACTTAAATGTTTAATGTTAAAACCCCCAAATTTAAGTCCTGTGTAATTAATTTTTTTTTCTTTAACAAAGAGGTCAACTGGAGAATTAGTAACTCCATGATTAAAAACATAGCAGGCAGGGGAAACTACATTTAAAGAAGGGAGGAAGCAGTCTTTAATGAGACTTTAAGATTACTTTCTCTCAACATTCACTTCGCTGAAAAATATGAAGAAAAAATTGCAGGAGAATAAAAGTTTTGTAAAAGATTTAGGCTCTCAAGTTGTTTCATTGATGGGCTGGAAAAATTCCCAACTTATGTCAGACATAGTTCTCCTGAGAAGGGGAAAAAACAGCCTGTTGTTTGTTCCCAGCATAAAAAGTAACACTTTTAAAAGTAGTTTTTAAGATTTCTCTACAAAAATTAAGTTTATAAAAAGGTGCGGGCTGTTTCTTCCCTATCCCAAGCCTAAAAGTAAAACTTAGTGGTTTTTCCTAAGCTCTTCCTTTAATCTTCCAGAGGCACAGTGTGATGACCTTATTTTCATGCCTTTTATCATAGTGCAGCCGTTGTGTGATAGCAATATTATAGTGCATCATTTGGATTTTTTTTTTAAACCCTTTGTATTTTTACTTTTATTAATCCCAGACTATTTGACAATGAAACTGCAATGAGTAAATAGTCAAATATTCCAAGTGCATCTTTCGCAGGTGAGCCACATGTGCCACAGACAAAAGGGTTTTCTGTTTGAACAGGTATTGAGCTCAGGCTATTTGCTGGATGCTTTCCTATCATACTAACATCAGAAATTATTTGCACTTCCTGTTGGATCACAAAAGCAAAAAAATCCTGAAAAATGTCACACAAGATTCAGTCCTCCCAAATGTATTACTGTGGCACCAGTATTTGGTTTCTCCACTGATGGGTTGTCTGTTCAAACCAGCAACACTCTTGCAACAGCTGAGTCAAAACTGAAGTGTGATGTGCAAGGTCTTTACAAAGATGGCTAGGGTAAAAGTTAGTCCAGTATCAGCTATTCAGTTGAAGTATACACGACACATGAATGTCTTCCAGGGTGGCCTGTATTAGAGTGGAGGACTTTCGTGTCTGGGCAGACCTCTCACCTGTCTCATGTGGACTAAGTTAGGATTTCAAGTGGTAATCTCATCTCTTCTCTTGCCCAAGGCAGGATCAACTCTGTTGATGTCCTTTCTGACAGATGTTTGTCAGACATGTTCATAAAGACTTTAGAGACATTTCAGGCAGTCTTCTTCCCTTTTCTGAAGTTTAGGACTAACTGGCGTTAAATATTTCTGTAATCTGCTCTGTAAGGTTGTGTTTAGCAACAGTATCGTATCCTTCTGCTCAGTAGGACATCAGAGTCCTCTCTTGAAGCAACTCCTACACTGTGTGTTTTCCTTATCTGAAAACACCTTTCCTGGGAATGGAGGATAGGGTAGACCACTTTATTTGGCCCCTTTGGACTCTTCCTGTTGTCTGTGCCATCTTATAAAAATTGATTGTTTTACTAGGTTTTGTTTTGGCTTGGATGACAGAAGAGATTTAGACCACTGAAGCCATGCTATATGTTACTCCACAAAGAAAAAGTAATTCTTACCTTAAGTTTATTTCCAGAATGGTTTTGGTGGTTTGTGTTTTGTTTCGTTGGGTGATTGGTTGTTTTTTTTTCTTTTAAATCGTCCACTCTTTTATTTTCCCAGTCTTTATAAAGAGGAGCAGGTACGAAGCCAAACCTTACCTTTGGTTCAGGGAAAACTGAAAAAATCTCCAAACTACATGTCTTGGCTACTAGGCTCGTGGGTAGTCTTTGATTTGACTGTCTCCACTTGGCCGAGAAAGTGAAATTAGACTCTCTCCGGGTTGAAGCTTGCTGATCCAGAATTTAGGTGGCCTCTTAGCTCCTCTTGTAAAGCACTGTAACATCTGAAGTTTGGCCTGTGTTACAGCTTCAAGGTCGGGTGATTGCCTTGCTCTTCTCTTTTGCTTAAATAGCAGTGTTATCACTCATCTTGTATTGCAAGTCAGAGAGATGAATTGTACAGACAGATGGCTTGAAACAGGTTATTACAATGATAGACCTTCTATATGTGGTGCATATGGATTTTGTGAGCTGCCGTACTCTCCTGCTATTTTCGTGTCCTTTGCCACCTGGATTCTCAATTGACTGAGGCACAACTAAGCATGCACAAAGGGTTTTTTCTTCTTTCTTGACATATGCAAACCCCACCTCAGTTACAGAAGTACAGACACTGCTTCTGAAAGAAATCTGATTTGTTGTGTGTGGGCATGTATGTGCCCCAGAAGAGGAATTAATATAGCAAATATAATTAATGTTGAGTAAGTAGTTGTTTACTCTTGGGCTTGACTTGGCATGATTTGTGATGCGATGACATGGTGTTCTATCAAGCTCCCTTCTGTTACCCACATTCCTAGTGCTTTTTTAAAATCATTTGGGTTTTTTTAAAATAATTGTTTAAAATAATACTTTAGGTTTTATAGGTTGTGAAAAGACCTTTGAAAATGTGGACTGAGTGTACATCGATACAGGAAAGATTGTCTCAAATTAGGGACTAAAAAAGGTTTTCTGAGATATGTATCCAATTCCTGTTCAAGTTAACGAAAGTAGCTCAGTTATCTAATCAAGATAACTGAATATTAGTCTTCCTACCTATTTTGCCCCTCTCTGAAGAAAAGGAAGCGTGGAATTGATCTCGCATCCTACAAGCCATTCAGGGTGACTGTTCACTTTTGCACTGTTTGTGTCAATTAAGGAAATATATTGCTGTTTGCCATCCTTTTAGGCCAGCGTGTAAGTTCCAGTCTGAAAACTATTACTAAAACACATGGTGGAGTGCAGCAAGGTATTCAGCTTCCCTGTGCAGTCACCTGAATAGCTACAGAAACCCTGTTCAGAACTGTGTGTGCAGAGACTGATTTATTTAGCTCTGATATTTAAGGTTTGTAGAGAGGTTTAATTTATGTACCTGAGTAGGTTCTAAAGCTCATAGCTTTCACTGAGTTAAATAGTAAAGACTGTGTCTCATTCTCTTGGAGTTACTTGTTTATTCAGGTTTAATGATCCCAATGAAGCATTTGCTTAATAAGTACGTTATTTAAAACGTACCGGATATTTACGCATTTACTAGCTTTAAAGTGTTCTTGTTTACCTCTTTAATAATGACTTTTTAATGCTCTTGTGTTTAATTGCCTAGCTACCTTTTGCTTTAAAAACATGAATGAAAGTAAAGCAAGCAAGCGGATGGTGGCTTTGTAAGACCTCTGCAAAGGCTTACTCATAGCGTCTGCTTTTAGGCTGCCTTTGGGAAATCAAATGTTAGAAGGCTAAGTTGGAAGCTGAGGTTCCATACATGTGAAGCGTTGGGTGTTTCTAATTGCTCCCTGGAGACACCTAAATTAGATGTCTGAAATGATCTCCATGAATACCCCATGCTACGTCCCTGTCCTGTGTCTGCCAGCCTTTCGGTGCAAGGGATCGGATACTTCTTCTTGGTGGTATGACAAAGGATCATGTTCCTGCCAGGTTTCATTAGAATATAACAAACTGAGGAAACTAAGTAAAGCATTTAACTGTAAACTTTCTGAAAACAAGCAAGTTTATATTTAAAAAAAAACCCTGTATAAGTTACACTACCCATGTGTGCAAATATTGACTAGTGTTCTTATAGGAATTCCATTTATTAGCAGTAGATTATTTTGTCCCTTATATATTACTTGATATTACTTGGGGTTTTTTCTGCTAGAAACTGTTGAATATCTTGTAGAAATCCGCAGACTTTTATTGTTAATACTTTGTGAAACTTCTACTTTCAAGCTCAAACAGGTTACAAAGTCCTAACAAAGCAATGAATGTTTAAAGTATGATGGATGCACGGCTATTTATGATGTGAATCTCAGACTATGTTCTTTTTTTGCACTGTGTGTATTTCCAACTACAAAACAAAATATGGCCACAGACAGTGCAGAAGAGTCTTTTTTTGTATCTTAGAAACACAAATAAAAGCCCGAAGTTTCCCTTATTTTGGAACAGGACAGCTGCACACTTTACATTTTGTAAGATGCATCTGGCGTTCCAGTCCAGTTTCAGGCTGAGCAATGTGCAGTACTTTCTGAAAGGAACGGCCATGTTAAATGGCAGGAACATGACTGTAAAATACACATTATATCTGTTTCAGTCTGCATGCTAGTAGTGACAGGTGCTCAATGGTTGTCAGCATCCTTGTCAGCACGGAGACTCCTTTGACATTAAAGTCACCAGCTCGGTCCTGATGCTGCGCAGCTCTATTGGCAGTTCCATCAGGCTGCAGCTGATGAGTGAATGTCAGAGCCTCCGCTGTTCTTCTGGTATGTCGCCAGCCCTCTGTGTTTTCAGGATGGCCTTGCCTGTTATTTGAACTTGCCACACTTCTTCAGCAGCTTTCCTGTGGGAAATGAGCAGATAGGTCATGGGCATGTAGGTATCTTCAGGGCAATGCAAAACCACATCCAAAGTGACTTGCATAAAGGTTTGTAACGATTACGGTTGCTTTAAACCAATCAATGGGTAGAGTACCCAGGGACTCATTAAGTGGCATTTGTGGTGTCTGTAACAGAGTTTTGAGCTGTGTTTCAGGAAATGTGGTGACAGCCTTTAATGTCTAATTGACCTCTTCTCTTTGTTTCACTTTCCATATTTCCTTCTGATGTGCTCCCCCGTGGCAGCAAACAGCCCTGCTCAGTATTCTGAACTTCTGCTCGGAGCTGCAGCACCTCAGCTTGGGCAGCTGCGTCATGGTGAGTACTTCCACTGCTCAGGGTGGGGAGGGAGTGTTGTATGTGTGTGCACACACGCTTGCTTTGGAGCTCAATCTGGGCTTATGATTCACAAAGATGTGTTAAACGCTAGGTTGATGAAATACTGTACTCTCTTAAAAGGTCCAAGATGAATGCAGCTTAGTCATATACTTAAGGGTTACATGCTAGTTTAGTAGGCCTGAAACACAGCTTGTAGGCTTTCTCATGGTTCTTCAGCCTCTTCCTAAATTTTTTGGTGTTCTTTTTATGCATAATAACTTTTTCTTTCCAAAACTAATAATCAAGACTTACTTATTTTTATTCAGACCAAATAATCATTCCAGAGTAATGCTTGTGTCTTACCCTACAGTGATAACCATGAGAGAAACATTTTCAGCGAAAGCCATTTGAGTCATAGACTTGCTGGGTGCACTCAGTGATTTAAAGAAAGAGAATACAGAAACAACAGCAATTGCTGCATGGCACTCATCTGAGCTGTATTGCATGTGTGTGCCAGAGCTGTGTGTTAGGGGGATTCTGGCTTGCTGCTGTCCCTGGTGGTAAGCATGCAATCATAGAATGGTTTATGTTGAGAGGGACCTTAAAGATCATCTAGTTTCAAACGCCCTGCCATGGTTGCTTAAAGCCCCCTCTGACATGCCAGATCACTCATCAGGGAGACTTGGGTGACCTTCCTCGTAGTTCAAGCAGCAAGTGACAGCAGAATTGGCTCAGCCTTCCCTGCTTTGACTCATGGGCAGAAGAGGAAGGCAGTGTAACTACGTTTTTCTAACAGTCCTTGTCTTCCTATGGTTTTTGGTAGTGGATTTCTTCCCTTCTGCCTATATAGTGGGACCCTGTTTTAGTCCCTTTGGATTGCCCAAGGTGACTACTAAGACTTCCATAAGGAGATGCAGCAACTGATCAATCTAGAATGGAAATAAGCGCATTCTTCAATCTGCATGTACTTATGGTTGCAGTGCCTATGGTCATAAAAACAGTTCTAATCATCTTTTAAGGAAAAACAACTGCAAAAAAAAAAAGGGCTTTTCAAAGAAAATAAACTTTTCACTGTGTTTTCACTGATCCTTCATATTCAGTGAATTTAAAAGCACCTGTGTCTGAGGGTGGATAAGAAATTTATTTTATTTTTGTCTTTTGTAAAAGTAGACCTCACTGTGCTCTACAGTGAATAATATTCAGAGCTCTTTAGAAATGACAAATGCTTAAGACAGATCTGTAGGTGTGTTAGCAAGCAAATCTTGAAATACCTATGTACGTCTGGAAAGATGGTATACATGACAAAGTGTTTGCTTTCCTTGCAGATTGAAGACTATGATCTTATAGCAAGCATGATGGGAGCAAAATGCAAAAAGCTTCGCAGTCTGGATTTGTGGAGATGTAAAAACATAACTGAAAGTGGAATAGCAGAATTGGCTTCAGGCTGCCAGCTTTTGGAAGAACTCGATCTTGGCTGGTGCCCTACGTTACAGAGCAGTACAGGCTGTTTCACAAACCTTGCGCGTAAACTCCCAAACTTGCAAAAGCTCTTTCTTACGGCCAACAGGTCTGTGTGTGACACAGACATCGAGGAGCTTGCTGCTAACTGCACGCATTTACGGCAGCTGGATATATTGGGTAAGCAAATGTAGGAATATTGCTATTTGTCTTACTGTGTCTCAAAAGCCTTGCAGTTAAAAAGGAGTCCTTAAGACAAAACCATCTCCTAGTCATATTTTAAAATAAATATTTCTTAAAATTATGGTTTAACACAGGAGGAAAAAAAGAGGGAACTTTTACTTACTGTAGTGAGTTTCTGACTTAGAAACCAGTGGATTTGTACCAACCATGTAATTTGACTGCTTAATATGAATTGCTTAAACTGAGATTTAAGTGCAAGATTTTCCCGATAACTTTTAGTTTCGTGACCATTAGGTTTTTTAACTAAAATCTTTTCCTTTTGACTAACAGAAGATCCTATTTATTATCCTTCTTTCTGCTTTTTTTTGTTGTTTTGTTTCTGTGAAGTGTGACAAAGTATATTTATAGTGCAGCTTTGTGATCGATAAATAGATTTCTGCTTTTGCGCAGTACAGATACACCAAGCAATATTGCATTTCTTAGTCACATTTACCAGGAAGTGAATTTCACTCATTAAAGGGGAAAAGGTAATTAACAGCAAAACTTACAATGGACTTTCTAGTAAGGTGGGAAGGAAGTGACGAGGCGCAAAAAGCATAGGAAATCTTAAATTTCTAATCCTCTGCAGCTTCTATAGTTAAAAATATTTTTAGAAATCTAAAGTAAACATACTTTGGACTCTTGAGTAATGACTTTGAGAAATTTAGTTTTGCATGATACTGAATTTATTCTTTTTTATGGTGGAATATGAGGGTTTCTTTTTAAAATAATGTAGGACAGGGATATTCGTGACATCAATGTGGAAGAAATTTCTTCCTGCTTTTACTGACTTGTTTTCACAGGGTTAGTTGAAAAAGGAAGATTTAAATGAAAGGAAATTAAGTAGCTGCACTGTGTATTTTTAATATTTAATAATTTTAATGAAAATGTTACATTTAGGTTGAGAGAGATGCTGGAAAGAACTGAGAGCCCTCGACTTGCATAATGTTCCAAGCATGTTTAAGGCTATCAGCATTTCTCATTGCAAAAAATTTACCATATGGCTTCAGATTGTCACTCCTGTATAGCTAGAACGCTCTTCTATCTTGAAATATAGTTTTACTCATCTCTGACTGAGAAGGTTGTCTTCTGACCAACACGGGAGAGGATGATGAACAGATAAAAACTTAACTCCACCTAGTACAAGTTGCAGAGACTTGAGGTGTATGTCCACAGAAGGTAATGTGTTTTGCATATGCTTAAGGGAATCTGTTTTCTAGCTAGATTATCAAGGGCACGTTTTCCTCCTCAGACATGAAACATTTCCAAAAGGCGTAGTGAATGAAGCCTTTCATAAACACATATGTTCTCCTGACCACCCACTTCCATACATTTCTTTTACAATGGCATTGTGTCTGCCCACAAAGTGGTCTGACCTTTTCACTGCACCAGAGGCTGCCCAATGAATAGTTAGGCTGTGTTAAGCCTACGGATGGTCTCCTACTTCTGTTGCCTCTCTGCCAGCAGTGAAGGTTTGTTGCCACGCTTCTCTAGCGTTTGAAATCAGTTTGACATCTTATTGACGTTTTTGTGGAAAAATAACGCGTGAACGTGGAAAAGGAATTTGTTCTGTTGCCTGTGTGCTTCCCAGTATTCCTGAGTCAAGTGGATTTGTAGTCAGCCTTTCCTAGTGAGACTGCATGTTGGGTTCAGATAAATGCTCTCCAGGGGGGAAAAAGAGTTGAATTGTCTGCAAGATGTTGCCAAAAACTTTAATATCCACCTTACACACCTCGCTTTCTTCCTTCAGAGGAATGCTTAGTAGGGTGGAAAAAAGGTGGTCTTCTGCTGTAAAGGAGTCAGTATAAGGTGATGCGATATATGTGAAGGAGTTACCCGGCTTTTTTGGCAACATCAAGGAAACTGTTCCTTTCTTTGTCTGTATATGGGAACCATTACAGTCTGTGGTTAAAAGAGAGTTGTCAAGTAGAACTACGTCGGGTCATCTGGAGGTAGAGTTGCCAGGTGTTCCCATGTAAGTGTAGAAGTCTCTATTGTCTGAACTAAAGAGCTAGTCTCTCACAGTGCAGGAGTACCACAAAAGTCATAAGTCTCTGTGTGCTCTAACTTTTGGCGGATGATATAGGTCCATCCTGTTACTATAAGCTACATAGATGCTTAATATGTTTTTGTCCTTTTGAAGAAGTCTGACAACAGGTCTGAAGCTGTTAGAGGCCTGAGGTCAGCGCTCAGCTTTGCAAGAGTAACCTCGAACAGTGGGTCTTCTCTGTGATGTGAATGAACGAGAGGTGCTCTCATTATATCCTTTGTCATCTCCCAAGTACAGAAATGTCTGGCTTGTACATGCATTGTGAAGGGTGTAGAAGTATTGCTGCTAGGCTAGCAGTGCATGCTGTAAGGGAACTTCTTTTTTTTCAGCAAGGCTGTGTAAAAGCTTGAGTGGGTTTTTTTTTGCTGTATACAGGCACTTACCTAAGTGAGGATCAGAGTGTCTTACCTTGTGCTGTGGTTACCAGCATTGACAATACTATGCTGGTTTCTCTCTGCAGTTGTTAGAACTTACAAACTTGTCAGTGTAAACTTCTTGTTTCAGTTACAGATTATTTATCATCACAATTGCTTCAGGACTGAAGTCTGAGCCTCTGAAAGAAATCTTGTTGAGCTGTCATTCATTTGAGTACTACAAATTGAATGTTATATATACTCTGGATGCTTTTTCAGGTGTTAGGTCCTGTGACTTGCTACCCATCTGTCCTTTACTTAGCCTTTCCATTATCATTTGGGAATTCCCATGTTACAGAATCAGATGACTCTGTAGAAGGTTAAAATTGCCAGTTTTCGAGAGCTCCATAAACTTACTGGCCCATGTAAAGCATTGTTTGATCGGTGGCTGTTTGTGGTGTGTAAAACATACTTCAGAAACTAATTTTCTGTTTAAAAATGGGTTGGATCCATATCTGCTGTGTTATAATAGAATTTGTAAGAGGAAGCATGATGTAAGTGTGTCACTGAATGCATGAGGATGTGCTTCTTCAGGTTTTCGTTCTGAGCTTTCTTTCACCCGTTACATACCGAGCTGCCTGCTTAGAAGTATCATTTCCTTTTCTGCCCGCATCTTTTCCATTGACTGACATGGCAGGTTTCTACCCTGCGGTTGAATGATCCAGCTGTGATCATCTGACAGTTTTGTAGTGATGGAGTACATCATCCAGTGCTGTCAAAAGTTAGGTGGACACCTCTAGACCTGCAGTTAAAAACTAGTCTTCAAACTGCGATCAGCATTGAGCAATGTGACGAGTCAGATGACAACCTGAAATTGGCAGTGCCAAAAGCTTTTCTTGTACATCATATCAGCTGCTTAGTTCTGTTGCTGTGGGGCTACCAGATGCTGTCAAGGATGAAGAATAAGTCATCTTAACCTCGCTTCCCAGAAGTCCTGATTGCCTCTGTCCTGCACAAAAGGAGTAATGAAAAGTAGACACCCTTGTTACTGCAAAATTCATGTATTCCTATCTACATACCAACACCTCCCACACCTTCCTGAGCAACAGAAAACCCAACTGCCCCCTTGCCAGCTGTCAGAATTTTCAGCTTTATCTTGAGAGCATCAACACATAGTTAGTCAATTCAAACATGAAAATGTGTAGCGTGTTAAAATTTTGAATTTGAGCTGTGTGCAATAGATTGAATAAAATGTAAAGAATAAAAGGCTAATCCGGCTGGTCTAGGGGAGGAAAGGAAGAGTAAGAACATTTGAGGGAATAGTGCTAGTTATTTTCAGAGTCTCTACTCTTAAATATTATTTGGTGTGTAGTAGTATCCCTTGACCTAGAAATTGTGGCTCTGGCACTTTTTTTTAACAGCCATCATACACATGTCTCCTGAACAGCACTAGAATTTGAAGACTTGGGTATAGGGTACAAGTTAAATCATTTTCAGCTAATAAACATAATTGTTCTACCAAAGAAATCATTGCTCAGAAGTGCCTTTTACAAAGGTGATACCAGAAAATTTTTCTAGAGGATAAACTGAATAAGAAAACTAATAGCAGATTTTAATGTATTTATGTAATACATAAATACATTACGTATTTTTTTTCTGGTTATGTAATTTTTACTGAGAAATGGCTGATTAGTCCGTGTATAAAAAGTTGTAGTAAATAGCAAATGTCCAAAAGCCTCCAAACTCTATAAAAATGCGCTATATAGGTAACTAGCAGGATACGTTGTCAGTCTTCCAAAAGAGAAGAAGAATGTGCTGCATTACACTTCTGAAATGCTTTCAAATGTGCTTTTAAGAAAGATACATCACTAATTGTACACTGTATAAATAAAAGTTAAGACTGTGGGTGATATTTTCTTATCCCGTGGTGTGAATAACAAACCCCAACCAGATTGCTGGCCTTTTTAGCTTTTAGAAAAAGGTATTTCTTAACATAAAATTTTAAGTCTGAGGAGGAAGAAGGTGCAGTAAAACATGCCATTTAGGATGGCCTACTTAGTTACAAATCCATTAAAAATCTTAGTCTTAGATGAAGCGGTAGGAGAACTGTCAAGGTTCAGGTAGGAAGGAATGAAGAACATCCTACACAAAAAATCTGTGCCTAGGCATCTAGATCTAGCATTTTTGTAGAAACACACATTTGGATCTTGAAGCGTAAAAGCTGTGATGCGTAAATGAGACTGGTTTTAAATGAAGGTGCTGATGCAGTAGCAATTTTAAGGCTCAGTGGAAAAAAGATGAGTAGCATAATGTGTTGTTCCTAGAGTTTCAGTTGGAATGGTAGAGCAGTAGGTACTATGGTAAAATATATGGTCAAGTGACATGAAAAACTGGAGTGTGTTACAGAATTTCTCTGTATGGCCATAAGGACCATTACATCAACCACCAGACACTTGAGGTAGCAGTGATCATACAATGATAAGGGAGTTAAAAATCACAATAATAATGACAAGCTTTGATTACATCTGTGTACATGAGGTAAAATTTGGGGGCATGATAGCAAAGACCATTTTCAGGTGATGCTAAATGATGTCTCAAATCAACGAACCTGAGAGGCTACCATAGAAGAAGTGAAGACCACACTTAGATACCCCCTTGCTTATGCAGAAGAGTACAGGAGACTACTGAAAACAGAGGTATCTTTCTGGAAATTAATCCTCTTCAGAGAAGGAAAATAGGAAGATGAACTCTAGAAAGTGAAACAAAATCACAGTAAGGCAATATGAGATACTAAGGAACCATTGGGTAAAGGTAGATGCTAAAACTTTCTTTCGGATATGTTAGAAGAAGTTTACGGGAGAGTTACTGAGGTTGGTAGATACTCCAGATGTGAAGGATCACTCAGATCAAGAAGGCCATTGCAGGAGAGCTCTTGTCTGTCCGTTAGTGTTCATGGCAAGGGGGATCAAGTAGGCTGCTACATCAGAGCTGTTCTTTCCAGGAGATTAGCCTGGAAAGCTGCCTTAAATTGGAATGCCAATACAGAAAGCTTTTGAACAAATCAATACATTGAACAATAATAAATTGTTAGGACTAAATGGTATTTATGCAGTGGTTCTAAATGAGCTCAAATAGAGGGCTGTGGAAATCTTATTTCTGCTATGTGATCTGTCACTTGAGTCGACCTCAGCGCTAGAGGAATGAAGGGTTACAAACATGGCACAATCTTCTGTAAAGGGTGCAGGTTAGAAGCTACAAAGCAGTAAGATTATCTTTCGGTTAGCGTAAACCAGTTACAACCATAAGAAAGTCAGTCAGTGGCAGTGAAGACTATTATGATATTTTGAAGGAGAGCTGCATCCCTGTGAGGGTAGTATAGTTACGCCTCTCTAGTCTTTCAGAAAGAATTCCTTGGAGTTCTTGGGGAAGGTGAGCACTGATCCCATCCATAGATACTGGATTTTCAAAAGCTTTAGCCAAGGTTGTTCTGCTTTTGTAACTCAGCTGTCTTCTCCTGTATTACGAGTGTTTCAAAGATAACAGAGGACAAGAACGTATCATCTCTTTTCACAGTGAAGCTATGTCACTACTGTGGTCACCAAGGGTCTGTACTGATCTGCTTATAAGTAATCCAGGCAACTGGGTGAATAATGCTGCGCCAGAGGGTAGTGCACAGGTATTCAGGGTAGAAAAAACTTAAGCTGAAGAACTTAACACTGGAAAATTGCAGAATGATCTTAGGATACTTAGTAAACAGATCACAAAGCAGGAGGAAAACTGTTCTGTCAAGTGCAAAGTAGTTGCATGAAGCAAAATAACATTAACTGAGCATATGGGGGGGCGGGGAGCAGGTGGCTTTATAGTACTTTTTTGTAGGGAAGAGATCTTTTGGACAATTTTGGGAAATCATCAGCTCGTTGCTCAGCATCATTCTAACAGCCAAAGAGATGGTTATACATTATACAGTTACTGACTTTGTGCTCAATGCAGTGTATAGTTCTGAAGGAAGACAACAGGGGTCATCTGAGATGCAAAAGAATTTAGAAAACAGACAGCCTTGAGAGAACAGAAGAGATGTCCGTAGGATTGTGAATGGTGTGGAAATAGCGAAGTGGGAATGATCTCTCACTGCTTCTTTATGATTCTTTGCCCCTTCGTTATTGCAATTAATAGGCAGTGGGTTTAAGGCTGATTTTTTTTTTCTTTTTTTTTTTTAATGTTATATAGTTAAACTGTAGAACTCACATGAAGGGGCTATAAGTATAAAGAAGTTCAGAAAAGTAGTAGCATTTATGAAAAGTAGCTTCAGAAATCCTTAAACTGATAATTTTTGGCAGTTGAAAAGATCTACCAGTGAAAAGCTGCATTAAAAATCTGCTCTTGTTTTTCTTTTTTTTCTTTTTCTTCAGGTTTTTTTTTTTTTTCCTTTTTATTTCTTTTTGGTAATCATTATTGGCCCTGGCCATAGACGAGATCCTGGACTAGATGGCTTTTTGGTGTGCAGTTTAGCTCAAGATAGAGCTGTGTAAGTTGAAGTGTCTGCCAGCAGGTATCTGCAGTCCTGTTGGGTGTATGAACTCTTTTTAGAGCCAGGAGAGCTTGCTGAGCAATTTATCCCACTGTAGGCATCCAGGCTTGGTTCGCTTGCCCAGAGTAACCTGCCTGGCTTCCAGCTATTCCAGTAAGGTGTGGATCTCCTCCTCTGGGCCCAGTGTCCTGTCTGCCAGCTCTGTGTGGGTGTTCTACACCGTGTAAGGAACCCCGAGAGGCACTAGGCACTCCAGGCAACTGAATCATACCGCAGTGCCCAGTGAGCTGAATCATGTGCTAAGCACCATGGACTGTACTGACTAGATTTCCATCAGCTATAACGAGTGTGTGGATGCATGCTTATAAACACCTATTTATTTGGTTTCTGACTGAATCCCATGCTTCATCTGACCCTGTGTGACACTTAGGAGTTCAGTCACTGTGGTCACGTTTTTAGCAGGGGTAAATAGTGTGTTTTCTGTTGTAGGTAGCGTATATGATTGGTTGTCTCTTGAACAGCTGCCCCTGCTTGTATGTAATACCCAGACTCACTTTAGAGTCCTGGAAGCCTTGCTGGTGTGTTTGGAATTGGAGCAGCCCACAATAGCTCGTGGGCTGTGCTGTGCTGGTCAGCGCGCTCAGCAGGACAGCCGTGAGAGCACGAGTGTAGCGTCCTGTGTTGCTGCCAAAACGCAGCGTCTCATCGCTGGAAAGTGTTGTGGCTTTGGGTACTTGGCTTCTGTAGTTAGAGATTCCCCTTGCAGTTGTTACCTTCCAATAGAAAGTGATGGAGTTACTTAAGCAGTTAAGAAAATACAATAGGCTTCTTAAAGGTAAAAATTCTGCACTGTCTCTGAGAAGATTTTAATTTGAAATCTAATTGAAATAATCTAAATAAAAAATGCGTGATAGTAGCATTGTTTCCATGACACAGTATGAGCAGCTTTTTAAAAAAAAAAAAAAAAGACTATTCTCAGTAACTTTACAATCTGTTTTGTTTCTCTTTTCTGTTTTTGAACAGGGACGAGGATGGTAAGCCCTGCATCTCTAAGAAAATTGCTGGAGTCTTGTAAAGATCTATCTTTACTTGATGTGTCCTTCTGTTCACAGATTGATAATAGAGTTGTCCTAGAACTGAATGCCAACTTTCCTAATGTGTTCATAAAAAAGAGTTTCACCCAGTAACTCACTACATATGCTGCTGTGGAATTCGTTTGACAGAGTTGTTTCCTGTGAATTTGTGCTGACTTTTTTTAAGAATATAGATCCCCTATGAAATAGTGGAAAGTATTAATTATCTACACAAATGCGTAAAATACATTTAAATATAATATGCATTTCTTAAAGAGTTGATATTGTACCTAAGAATTGTTTTACTCTGTGTTAATTGGTGGCACTGCATGTTTTTAAATACCAGCCATATGTGTGGCTTTAATGGGAATAAAATTAATAGTGTCTTCTTAAATGTCCCCTTAATAGGGTGTTACACACAGTAAACTATGTTAATACCCAGGTGAAAGCAGAAGTTTAATATTCAGCAGTAAGGAAAAGATGGTGTTTCCTTTTAATGTATATGTGTTTGTGTGTGTATATATAAATTTATACAGATGTGTTTGCATATACATACACAGATACTGTAGCATTCTGGTGTGGCCTGCAGCATAAGATGTTATGATCTGGCCTGTAATTGGTTGTTTGAAAACCTGTTTAAGCTTGTATGAGAATGGATTGAAGACACTTTGTTGTCTTCATTTTTTTTGGCAATGAATTGTATCTGATACATTTTTCTCCCTTCCTTCACCTGAAATAGATGTAGTGATGTTTTACAGTCCAGCCTAAGCGACACAACAGATAAATGCAAGAACCTTCCACCTGAACTTAGAGCAGAAACGAAAGAGAAAATTGCCAGCTGCTTCTTGGTATTGGATATAAAGTTTGAGCCAGGTACTTAGTGTTGTAACTGGTAATGTGTAGAAAACTCCAGAGCAATTTTCTTTTCAAATTTCTGTTGTGGTCAAGACTTGATTTGTGATACATCTGGTTGTTATGCAGAGTACTGTAAAAAAGTAGAACTTAGGGTAATGCGTTAGTAACCGTCCCTTGCACTGGAGTCAAATCTACTGTCAAGTGTAGAAACAAACATCTTTGTTCAGTAAAACAGCAATGAAAATACAGTGAGTTTAAAACAAGGGCAATATGAATTGGTGATTTACTAACCACCAAACCTTAGTATTGGATTTGTTTGGGGGTTTTTTGTTTGTTTTTCCAAAAGGTGATTGCTCAAAGTACTGTTGTACTCTCCGTCTTTAACGCGGTTTAGCCTCTGGAGAAGGAAGACTCTGTCGATGGACAAATTCTAGAGGTTTCTTCCTTTTGTGCTTCCTTGGATTAAATTTTTATCTTTTTTTTTTTTCTTGAATACCTAGATTATGTTGCTATGTACAGCTTGAGTTTAGAATTTTACCTTTTTAGCCATTGGTGATGAATATGGACCATGAAATTTGATATTGGTTCCACTATTCTTGTGTTGATGGCTCTTATTACTGACTGGAATAATAAGAAAAAAATTTTGTCTGGCAGAAGTACATTATTGCACCGAAGATCGCTGCAAAGACTCCTTCCTTGTGTGCAGTAAATAACGGACCGCTACTAGAGGACTGCTACGAATCATTAAAGATTTGACGATCTCTGTGATTCCTGAATGAACGCTTTGAACTCTGTGCTGGTGCCAATACTTTATAAACCATGTCATGAAACAGCTACAGAACACTTCTCATTTTATAGAAAGACCTTTTTCTTCAGATTTTTAAATTTTACAGAATCTTGTGGGAATTCCGGATCCAAAGAAGGGCATGCACAGTTGGCTTTTTGATTTTTTTTTTTTTTTTTTTTTTTTTTCCCCACAGATGGCACTATGGGATTTCCAACTAGATTATGCCATTCCATTTCTGGTTTTTTGTTCTATAAAACTGGACATTGTCAGAGATCTTTAGATTTATTTACTTTTTTTTTTCCACACCAACAGATGTCAGCTTTGGTGTGATTCTGTGTGAGACCTCATTTCTTTCAATCAGGTTTGGGTTGATTTATTTTTCTGGGAACTTAACTTTTAACTTTTTTTAATCTAAAGGTAATATTTTTCATTGTAATTGAGTATTAAACGTTACTGTTCTAGTTATAGGAGAACACAGGTTCAGATAATGGGAGTTTACAAAGAACAGTATTTCAAAACAAATGTTTTTGTTGAGAAATTTCACTTCTCAGGGTGCATGTGTGTTTATCTCCTTTTCTTCTTAGAGATCATTCTTGTTTGTTTTTCACTGTAAATAGAATGAGATGTGGATGAAGTGATATAGCCATTGTGCCTTCAAACTGGTAAACTTGGTAAATAATACAGTTTCACTTCTACAGCATCTGTGAATCAAAGAAGTGTTTTTGTAATCGTGTACATGTCAAGGATTTAATTCTCTGTTGCTTTTTAGGTGGTATAAAGGAGGTTTAAATTCTGTTCATATGAAAGGATTTTTTTTCTTATTGTGCCTTCTGTTTGAAATGGTTTTTGTCAGGAATTCTCTGTTGTCATTTGAAAGATAAATTCAAGTCTGCTTTTTATTTGGACTATTTAAAACTCAGCTATTGCTAACATGTAATTAATTCAAATAGCTGAGAAATAATTGGGAAAGACTTCCATCTATAGTTGTAGACTTTAACCCTCAGTCAGTGGATAAGACGCTCATTTAGCTATGGCTTTATATGACCAAGAAGTCTTCCAGCAAAGAGAGGATAGACCAAACTTGACGTTTCTAGTATTTCCAGGATAAAGAAAACAACATGTTTTTAGACCTTCCTTATACATCACAAAGAAGCAAGAACAGATCACTGTCTTTAGTTCTGCTATTTTATACTTACGTGTGTATATCTATTTATACAAAGGTATGTATAAATTACATATACACACACATGTTTGTGTGTATATATGAAATTTTTTTATATCTGTGTACATACTTATATGTATAAACCTCAAAGTTTCTCATGTAGGAATTTCTTTTGTCAGGTGAATGTAATAACAAAAGATGTTTCATAGCAGTTCTGTTTTCAACTGTTGTTTTACTGTACCTGGAGACTGAGTTCCTCTCCACCTGTGCAGCAGGAAAAGCCTGAGCAGGAGGAGTGCTGGATTTCCTGTGTTGCTTTGCCAAAGTGCCTTTTGGTTTGTCTACAGGTGAAAGGTGTTACAGGGTATGGTAGAGTGTGAATGCAAAGTCCGAAAACTACTGTGGACTGTCTCCTTGTGAAGCAGTCGTATAGAGAGAAACTTATTCTAGTTTCATGTAATCCAAAACGAATGATGGCAATTCCTTAGTTGGAGGAATTTAATTATTCTGGAACTGGGTTATCTGCAACACTAGACCATCCCTCAGTCATGTTATCTAAATTCAGCTTTTAAGGGTATTTCATTTTTTTATCTTGTCCTTTGATCTTGTCTGTCTTTCTGAAGCGTTGTAGAAAATGTGCTTTGGCAACAGATGTCCAAAAAAAGAAAGAGGCTTGCTCTGAAGTGCTCCTGTTCTTAAACTATAAGGGGACTTCAGTACTGCCTGTATGAAATTGGTGTGGGATGGTGTATAGGTAGATACATCATTCTTTTGGTCATTTTAAAAATTAATATGATAATTTTACTGTTTAAAGCATCATCCCAGCTCTTGAAGGCTTCAGTTCAATAGTGTACGTACTTGAATTCATAATTACGAGCTCTCCAACTAGATAGCTCTATGGAAATGGATGGGGTTTCTCTTGTTTAAATTATGCACATGATGAAGTACATTAGTGAGCAGGACTTACATGGAAGAACAGTTTTGCACAGGAGGTTGGACCTTATAATCCCCGTGTACTTGGAGGTCCAAACTTCAGACCCATATGGAAAAAAAAAGATAAAAAATGAAGACCCTTGTATGTACTGTCTGATTCTTTCCTTGAAGCTCTCATGCCAGCTTTTCCAGATGCAAGATGTCCAGTAATTGTGGTACACAGTGAGTAGAATTCATCTCGCTGAATGTTAGCTCCTTGAAAGACACCTAGTTTTAAGGGAGGCATCTGGGCACCTCTAGAGAGCTATTAATCTCCTCCTTAGTTAGATATTTAAGAAAAGTAGCATGAATCATGTTCTGGAGAGCCTCTCTGGAGACTGTGGAAGCTGTGATTTAGCTCAGATTAGATACTTGGCTTTAGAATACTAAACTGAGATTAATTCCATCCAGCGCTGTACTACCTGTTTGGAATAGCAGAAAACAAGACCAGAACAACATCCATCCCCAAACCTCAAAACCCTTCAAAATCCATCCAGAAAGAAGCAAGTTAAAGAGATGCTGACAGCTTGAAAAGTCATTTTTGAAATGCCAGGATCTGCTTCTGCCCCTGAGTCCCTTGCCGATGCCTGTGGTGTGTTTTTTTCTTTTTTTTTTTTTTTTTTTTTTAAATTTTTTTGGTGTTTGGGTTTTTTTTTCCCCTGTTCTGAAATCTGATGTACCTAGCTGGCTATATGTATAGCTCTGTAAATGCATGAAATTAACAGGCAAATGTAATTAATGTATTGCAGCTATTTCGATAATCTTTCCTATTGCTGTAATTAAGACTGTGACTAGTTTAACTGCTCTCCTGTCATCAGAAATGTTACCCAGTGCATTTGCAAAAATTGTGTATTTAGTCCTGGTTCTTACTGTGTGTACTTATTGCATCTTACGGGATATGTTTCCTAGATCACATCTGCAGGACTACTAAATTTACAAAAACTAGGTAAAATGTAGCATTTTATTATATGGAGTATGGGGGTGACTTTATATATTGATTTACATGTTCATTATTACTCTTTTGCAATGATTCCATAAGTTGTAGCTTTTGAAATTACTAGGCTAGAAATTCCTGGTTTAATGCATCTGTACAGGCTGTGTTAGACACAATCAACATTTTTCCCAAATGAAAGCATTTGCCCTTCACCAAGACGGTAATTTCTGTGATTTTAGGATTGTGACTGACAAAGAAATTCAAGAAGGGGCTCTTTATGAAATATTACCAGGCATGGGACAGGTTGTGAGAGCTGACATGAGGAAGGGCTGAGGCATGAGTCTTGTGCATTACAGATGCTCATGATCTTCAGAGAAGGGCCTGGGCGAGAGGTGGCTCTTTTTAAGAATATTCAGCCTCAGTAATAGCAGACAGTGGTGGGATTTTCCGTTTTAGCTAATGGACTAAGTGCTGTTATTTTAGTTTGAGTAGCTCTATTTTGTCGCTGTTGTGTTTTCATTTAAGAATGATAAATAGCACAGTTAGGGCAGACA